TCGCTAAATTTTTATTGCCCTCTGGTCTTGTTTTGAGGCTCCAGAACAGAAGTTGTTTTACGGCCAATTTTTGTTACCTGACTCTGTCGAGCGTGTGTTGGAACCAGGGGCTTAATTTCGCTGAATTTTTTACGGCCCTGGTCAGTTGTTTACACTGTGTTTTGTGGCTCCAGAGCAGAAGTTGTTTCACGGCAATTTTCGTCTAATACATGACTCTGTCGAGCGTGTTTTAGGACCTATAAACTTTATTACTCCCTGATCTTGTGGGGATTGTGGCTCCAGAGCAGAAGTCGTTTCGCGCGGCAGTCGAGCGTTTTATTTATACTACTTATGGGGACCAGTTTGAGCTAAATTTATTGCTCCTGGTCTTGTTAATATGTTTTTGTGGCTCCAGAGCAGAAGTTGTTTCGCGGCAATTTTGTTTCCTCGCTCTGTCGAGCATTTTTCTTGGGTGTAGGTATATTAAGGCTAGGAGTTTTGAGTTTGGGTGTGTGGGGTGTTGTCCTCCTGTTGGTTGTGCAACGTCTCGGAGAGTATTATTCGTACGTTGGCCGCCAGATTTCTCTATCATTTAACATAGGAGCGTGGGCAAGATTGTTGTAAATAGGATACTATGATACTATTTACAGCGGTCTTGCCCATACAAGAAAGTATCGTCTTAGAAGAGGTTAGAAGTCTCAGCATGGCTTCATTTGAACGTGCTCAACAAAACCTATTTCCTGCTTCTTCCCATTTTCCGTCATCCCTGTCCTTCTTCACTGGCATTGGCCCCATTCTTTCTGCCTCCTGATGACTTCCGGAAGTTTTACCTTAATTTTGTACCGGAGGCTAAAGAGAAATTTTGTCCTTTGAACAATGGGATTAATGTTCTTTTGTTGAGGGAAATGACGATTTCCTTCGTCCGGGACAAGTAGAATGCTTTTCAGAATAATTAATCCTTATTTTTTTTACTTGGAATCAGTCCGCGAATAGATCTAACAAAACGAACTTTTTATCGATCTAAGAACTTTCCATCTTTGATCGAATTATGCTGTTAAATGGAAAGTTCACTGAAAGGGCTCAGGGCACAGCAAATGTGATCCTGAGGCATTTCTGTAATTTCCGCAAGGGCAAATGTAAGTGTAGTGTATGCATGTATCACATGACATTGTTTAAATGCTGAGATAAAGTAGCGCTTCTTAATTACCTCCGTATTTTTCTCTCTTTTACGACGCTGTCAGATCGGATAGTGTAAGCCAATTAAATCGCGCCTAAAATTTACAAAAAAGACAGAAAACAAGACCAGACATTGCTTACACTTTATTGAATCATTTTATTCTTTTGAGTGTATATATCTATTCCAAGTTTCACTTGCCTTTCAATCTCTTATGTTACACCCTTACTCCACCAAGTAACTGTGCTCCGGTAGTCACAGCACACAAAAAATGACTATATATTTATTCATTGAAAAGCATATATTTTTTAAACTTACTGCTGTTCACCAACAGTCCTGTTTATGAGTCTTTTAAGACCAAGCCGGTAATTACTACTAAAAGTGAAGCAGATAATCGGGTTCAAAGCATAGTTAGCGGCAGCTACAACAGAGGTGACTTCATAGTATAGCCTGAAACTACAGGAGAAATGAGTGGAACTGCTTCGAAAATTTAATATTAAAATATTATTTATGAATGGTAACCAGCAAAATGCAGACACTGAAATGATAGCAATGGACATATGAAGAACATTTGTGTTTCTCCTTTGCCGCTGTTGTTCAACGTTTGGACGACTGTTCACCTGGATGCACCTGTGTCTTGAGTTTGATTAGAATGTTGGAGTAAAAGATAACTAACAACAGCACAGGGATGTGGACAAACAATATATAGCTAGGACGCCAGTTTTTTAGTCTAGAGAGGACAAGGATTCTCCTATTGCTTCTTTCCATCCGCGCTTTACACTGCATTCCTCTGAGTTTTTAACGAGTTTCAGGGCAAACAAGTATGGCAAACTGACGGCTACTGAAACTATCCACTTCGCAAGAGCAAAGAAAGGGCATAGCTTGGATTTGATGAGTGGGGAATAGAGTGGAAATACTACGGCTCCAATCGATCCACCACTATCAATATCAGATTTTGAATGGAAACCACAGCGGAACTACACCAAAGAAAACAATAAGGTTACACAAGGCCTGGCCAAACTGACCACCGATAATCCACGATGTGTGCAACAATGACAAGGACCAGGGCAAGCGAATATTGGATAAAGCAAATCGGTTTTCTCAACTTGGTCGAATTATAAACGATCATATTACAATGGGAGAATTTCCGGCCAGTGAAAGAACAATGATCAGACAAAAAGCAAAGGTTCCTCCTATTTTAAACGCTGTGAAACTAAAAATAGCTGAGCAGTTCCAAGATTCCGACAAAATTGACAGGTGCGTTCATGCGGAAAATTTAGGCAGCATCTTGAGTCTTGTTTACTTTGACAGCTGAAGCTGACAGAGTTTTGTGTCAACTTGTGATTTTTTTAACTGTCCTTTTCCACTGGATGTACAAAATGAAATTCAGCCGCTATCGAAAGTCTTCTGTTATCCATGGCTAGTTTGTTTATTGGGTTTTTGGTTGAGAAATACGTCACTTGTCAAAGTTGGAAATCCGATTTCGGATGGCATCGTTTTCGTTTTCATCTTGCTTATGTATCGGTCAAATCGAAGCTTCAACATGACCCCCCCGGGCATACCCCGGGCATTTGACACCTTTGCCTTCCCGGGGAGGAGGGAATTTGATGATCAGAGTCTTCCAGGGGGTGGGGAATTTGATCCCCATGCTTTAGGGGTGGGGAATTTGAACTGCACCCTCGCTTTCATGTAAAATCTTTGGCGTGGTGAGCTATCATGGGGAACGCGGTGTTAGAGGATTTTCGTGGAAAAGATTGTGCCTTTGTGGCCAATTGGTTACGAGGAAAGGGCTTAAGCAAGCTTTGTGCCTTATTTGAAGTATTTAAATTTTAAAATTTTTAATTGGATTCAGGCTTTGAATGTATGAATGTATTTTATTGTTGTGTTTACATTGAAATACGATACCTATACCAGCGATTCAATACAACAACATAAAATAAAATAAAAAGCTCAGGTCAACTACTTTTACCTTCTGTAAGTATGTTAATTAATAAGGTGAGCGATGATGCATGTCAGTGAAATGGTCATGATGTAGCCTCAATAGGTGGAATCTTTTTTTATAGAACGCTTTGTATGTTGCATGACGAAGAAAAGCTGAGCATTCAGTGACCTTGTAGCAGCGATTTCCGCCGCTTTGCACGAGACTTTTGGTCGTAGTAAATACGCTAACAGTGTTTCTCAGTTTTTGTTATATTTGTAAAGATTTTGTTCGACAACTGAAGGCGTTTCCGCCATTCCTCTGTCATTTTTGTGCCTGTAAAATGTCCCCAGGGTGGGGGCATTTGATCACCTGAATGGACCCTAGTGTGGGATTTTTGAACGGCATTTTGGCCCGGGTAGGGGGGAATTAGAACAATAATTTTCAAAAAAGTCATTTTTGTGCCTGTAAAATGTCCCCAGGGTGGGGGCATTTGATCAAATGACCCCGGGGGCATTTTGCCCGGGGTGGGGAACAATAATTTTCAAAAAAGTCAAATGCCCGGGGGGTTGCCCCGGGGGGGGGGACATGTTGAAGCTTCGATTTGACCGATACATTAATGCGTAAGACTGAAGCGATACTGGCCTTACTTGATACCTTTGAGGAGCTGCATCTCGAGTGGTAAGCCCGAGTAATTATTGTATTTGATGTTTGTTTTTTATTTCTAATTTAATGAAGTCGAGCGTAGTTTATGCGGCTATTTTGTTTACGCACGTTTGTAAGATTTGAGACAATGATCTGACCGAGTATCAGGTTTATATAAGCTTATAGATCTTTTTTCTCACCGCAAATAGAAAGAACACGTTCCAAAGAATTTTTAGTTATAATTCAGGCTGTAAAAAAAGCTTTGAGCGATTTTCTTGCCTCGAGTTCGTCTTTGAAAAAAGCAAACACCGGGAAGCCGGCTTAAAACAAAAACTTCAGCTTTAAGCTCGAAGACTCAGGATTTTTAGAGACACTTTAATACTTGTCTTCCTGAATGAAAATTGTCGTCTCTGTATATGTTTCACCGAATTTTATTTCTTTTGTTGATTATTAGTAGTCTCTCTGGTAATTTTAATCGCTGTGCCGATTGTTTTCAGTCGTTCAGTGAACAACGCTTCCCAGAGTACTTAAAATGTGATCGAAGACGATTGCCAGTTTTTGGGTGTACATATGAGGCCATCAACTCGATGTAAGATTTGGTTCACTCTGGGGTTGTTTGCAAATTATTCTAGTCTAAAATCACTTAGCCTTTTCCCTGAAAAGTCACATGAATGTGCTCTAAAGTTAACTGCATTGTGGAATACAAGTTTATTGTTTGATTTAAATTATACATTTATTAATGCATGGAGCCTCGCTTTTAGCCCTGGCTAAATCTATATATTATCTTTAGTAATAAGGTCAATTTAGTATTCATACACGGGTAGTCAAAACTTATCAACAGGCGAATAATAATACTTTTTGTGTGAAAAATAACACCTTGCAGCTTAGGTTTAATTATTTTGTGTTCATAAAAGTTTTCGTGGAAGACTATGTGAGCTATCTATTTCGATATTTGTCTTAGATATTTCTACTACCGGCCGTGTGTTCAATGTCATCTTTTTATAGTACAAGTCCCACCGACCACACAATTTACCATTCATGACAATCAACCAGAAATGCACATAACAACGAAAATGGCAAATTTAGCGAAGATCCATTAAAGGTTTGGCGAATCATTCAGAGATGTCCAAATGAACCTCTCGGAAAGTGGCAAATTTTGACCAATGTGGCGAAAATAAGACAGACGAATTTTCGCTTTATTCGTCAAAATCGCCACTTTCAAAGGAACCCTTTTGGCGGATGCTTTGGCGGATGATTTGCCATTTTCGCCAAATATGCCAATTTCGCCAAAATTGCTCTCTGACTTCTCTGGCTTTTTTTCGGCCAGATTCGCCATTGCTGACTAATTTTCACTACTTTCGTCATATTCGCCATTTTTTGTCATGCGAGCCTCTCTCCAAGGGGCCACTTTTGGCATCCAATTTCAATATTCGTCACACCCATGGAGAAGTTTTGCCTTGTGATCTCTACTTCACAAGGAGCGCCTCTTGTAAACTCGGATTCGCAATTTTCACCGTTGCGTGCATTTCTAGACAAAAGTGAAAGTTTAAAAGTCGAAACATTATTTGTTGTGTTTAAATAACACGAACACCTAAAAATTAATTTCTGCTGTTTATATAAGCTTTTTAGATGAGAGTGAAGATATTACGTGCAGAAATATAAGAAAAACGTATCACGCTGACTTATAAGCTCTAGTTAGATATTTTACGTCTTTCTGTACAGTAATTCCTCGAAATAACCAACTTTCCTTCTCTGTTTTCCAAAATGTGATTTTCCCTGAGTTCATATTCTTTTAACTCGATCACTGAAGCACTTAACTGAAGCACAACTTTGCCTTCTTGAGTAGCCTGTGAACAGGCTCTCGGCCCAGTTCCCCCCTCGACCGAAGATCTGTTAACAGGCTACTTTTTGATGTATTCAGTGAAAAGGTTCGTTAAGATGGCTCTATTGGATTTTTCAGGACCAAGTTTGAGCATTAACTATATCGCTATCAATAAAAATATGGAAAAACGACTTCCCCAAATTTACCACAGAAAGACAAAAATTTATTATGAGCAAAGTCGCGTTAACATCGGAGTCGTCACAACAACGAAATGACGTCATCATCTATTTTACTTGCAGTCTTATTTCTCAGCACTAGTATTTTTTCAACAATTGCTCACGGGAGCTTTTGTTCCTCCAATATTTGCCTCAATGTTGAAGGCGTTTTCGAGGTTTTTTCGGATGACATTTTAATCGCCAGAAATACAGTAAAAACTGGAGAATCTTAAAAGAAGCGCGTCACCTTATTGCTTATCAATCAAAGTTAGGTCTGTGAAAAGATGGGAGTGGAAAAAGCGATAGAAATTTCGACCTACGCCAGCAAACCATGTCACGAGCGATCATTTACAGCTTAATTTCGAAACAACTACTGAAGAGGCCAAAAATATTATGGATAAAATTAGATTGGTTAAGGCTTCACATTCTCGCATTCTAGTTTGATAAAGGAATGAACTAATGCAAGCGTCAGGCGATCAACTGCGTCCTGTATGGAAGATTTCAGGGCTAGGATAGAGGTGGGCAAGCATTCCAGGAATACGTTTTCTCTTTTCGATTTTGGAACACATCAAGAGCCTATCACAAGCTCCTAAATTCATTATGTGCTTGTACGTATTAGGCAGTTATCTAGAGATAGATTTTTTCCAATGCAAACTGTTTTTCTAATTTTATATTAAGCTGTCAATTGGTAACAATGAAGGAAGCACAGAGTCCACTCTGTTACACCAGAAGTTTGCGCATGTGCTATGGTAATGTCGACCGCCATACATGAGTTTGCTGTCACCATGTTTAGACGATTCCGGTGTTGTCTTGTTCACATTTAACAAACAAATCCCGCAAGCTACACTGCCATCCTCAGACGCTGAAACGTGATGCAAGGTGAAATCCAGGCTGCTCTTGGATGGCTGATAAATGCAAACGACATTATGGTGTCAGTACCTCCACTAGAATTTGTTTTTCGTTATTTGCTACATTAATTTTGAAGGGCAAAGCATGCGTTCCTGACCATACAAATCCCCAAAGACGCAAAATAATTTATGGCATGCTTTGCGTAGAACGCAAAGATCGATCAATCGATCTGAAGATGTTTTTGTAGAATATCCTGTTTACGTGACTTGTGTGGCTGTTATCTAACGATGCATATTTTTTTGTGCTGTAAATACGGCTACATTTTAACTTCAGTCAATTGTACTATAAAGATTTGGAGTCTGTCTCCAGATAAACTGTCTGGTTACATAAAGGCCTAAGCAATTTCAATTTAGGACTCGCTTATTTTTAACTGGGAGTCATGATTTTTCACGAGATGAGTCCCCGAACTCACCATAACTATTGTAACAAAATTACTGTACGTGGTAAATTGGGATGCATCATCATTTATATTGTTATCATCAATACTATCGCTAACACGACCAACACCACCGCCACCATCATCGCCATCGTCATCATCATTGCCACTAAAACCTTCACCACCACCACCGTTATCATCTCCGCCAACACTAACATTAATATCATCATTATTATTGCTATCTACATCAACATCACCATCACCATCATCATAGTCATCATTAATATGTCTACATTATTATTTTTGCTGATCAGGTCTTTATAGATCCTACGTTCTTCGGCATATTCGTTTGCAGTCCTTTGCAGTCCTTTGTGGTTAATGTTTGTACTTTATAATTTTTGGGTCGTAGATCTTTTATAGATCCGATATGCTGTAAATCTTGCATGGTTTTGTCCATGTATTTTAGGTTGGTTTTGGCCAATTCTTTATTTTCTCTGCGAGATATCAACTTGACACTTGGACTCTTGCCCCCCAGAAGACACGTGGTATGGTGTGATTCTGTGGGTGACAAGAGTTCTGGGTCAGGACTTAAAATCAGAGTGCGCGGATATTTTTTATCAGAGCTTTCTCTAGTTGCTACGCCATGCTGACGAACCCCAAAGAGGGCGAAACAGCTGTCTATGGCTACAATCCCGCTCTGTTTTTAGTTCTTTCAGTGTCGTGTTGATGTATTGCAGAGTTAATTTTCACGTAGTATGATCAGCATTGCAGTATTCTGCTTGCAGAATTTAATATGTCTACATCCTCATCATCATTATCGTTTCAGTCGTCGTCGTCGTCGTCATCATCATCACCATCATCATAAATTACTGCTAGATATATACCAATTGTACCTACCAAAACATCTGACCCAGAGAGAAAGCCTGATATGTCCTTCCACGTTCTCTCTATTTCTCGATAAATATCTTGAAGTTTTATATTGTTTGGTGCTGTAAAATAATAATAATAAAAAACGTGTTTCATCAAACTATCAGAACATAAATTCAATTCACATGACACTGAACAGGAAGATTATATCCACATAACCAGAAGGTAAAAATAACTTTAAAGAAATCATGGTGTAATTTCCATCAAAAATGTTTCATTAACTGCGTTAATGAAGCAAACTGTACAATGAACACTAAGAGCCTATCATTTGAGCCCTAAACCTTCATCAAAGCAAACTATGATCCGCTTAGAAGAAGGATAAGCTCCAATTTACTCTGATGAGGTAATAAAACTTGAAATGTCTGCTACGGAATCTCTCTACGACGACAATTCTTTTAATTACAGCGAGTCTCAACTAGTTTATACTCCATTCCTTATCAACACAGCACCATGGTTTGTAAAGAAAAACCCTTTGTTCATCCGAAACAAATTGAAAGCTTCGTCAACTGGGCAGATGCCATTAGTTGCCGCTACAGTTATATTATTGATGACAGTCAGTACCTGATTTATTTATTGATGCTTTTATTCGCAGCGTGACTCGGTAGATTTCTACAATGGCTAAAAGGTGTAAAACAGACGGACCATAAATCAATATTGCCATATCAGGGAAACATTCTAAGGTCCTTACTTTAAAACAGTCTGGCGTTTTATTTCGTTAGTTCATAGCTGCTTGCTATTGCCTCCACTGAGTAATTTTTACACTCGACTGGATGCACATTATTACACTGTACCGTACTGGCTAGGCCTGGACTGATCCAAGACGTACACAAATTAAAGAGCTAACTTCAGCGACACAATCACTTAAACACTAGAATATTTGGGCTTACTACTACTAAAATGGGAATATTAAGTGGCAAAACCACACGTACACAGTTGCTGAGGACAAGTGGAAAATAACAAATGAAATGCTAGATCCAAAAAAGAAGAAATATGCCGTTCTTGAGTGATTATGAAAAGCCGCTGCTTTAACATAATTAATTTATATAGTTAAGCATTGGGGAACCAACAGTCTAACACTTTCTAGGGATTTTCGGAATTTACTACCTGAAAAATATGAAGTTCCTTCTTTGGAGTCCATAACTTCTTCTTTGACAGACTGCTCGGTGATTTTCTGAATGGCCAGTGTAGCTGTTGCCAGAGTTAACAAGCAGCTGTTGAGGCACCGGCTCCAAGCATTGGCATGTTGATCAATATCCTTTTAAAGACAAACACTTTATGTGTCATGCAACTGTAGCAATCAGACTTTGATTGGTTAACAAGCAGAAGTTTTTCTTACTAAAGCGACCCGACGTGCATTTACAATAAAATGGTATCCAGCCTAATTAATCATTTTTTACGATTTAGACAACAAAAACTGATTAGTGGTAGCACACTTGACTTCCATCTTCCTAATTATAAATAGACTGGAACATGGAAACGTTCTTCTTCATCGTTAATAGAGGGTTTATGCAAAGACATTTTTGAGCGACGTACCTCAACCGGATCTTAGTGAGGCTTTTTCCTTTTTAGTATGCCTTGACGCTAGCAAGTTTGTATTACTAAGTATATTCACGCTTAGAAACGTTTTCTCTGAAACTTTTCAGAAATCCACTTCTCCTTGACTCTTCACTCTAAAACGTCTTTGCTTAAATTCCCTAATCAGAGGTAAAAACCGGATGTAAACGTCTCTCACCATGTCAAGAAATAGCAACAAATTGAACCAACATACGGCATTTCCTCCCAGATTCCAACCCGAGCCACATTGATGTGTGAATGATACCAAGCTCTCATCAATGTGACTCGATTGATCGGGGGTTGAGAGAGTTGCGACCACTGATGCTCTCCCTGTCTTCGAAAAACGCCAAGTGGCAGGTTAGGAACGCTATCCACCGTTCGACCCTTCATCCTCCTAAACGTTCCGAAAAGCCAATTTCAGTGGTTCATGGGAAAGCAGAGGCCAAGACCCAATACTAGTATTGTTCCTATGATTTAAACTATTTTTAGAGTAACCTACCCCGGAATCGTGTGACAGGACCTTGTAGCGTTCGGTGGGCTCCAACGAAACTGAATTAATAAGAGAGTCTCTGACAGTAGCTGTAGCATTTGGTTGTTTGCTGCTTACATTACATGAACCTGCCGCAAATGAGCTGAATGCTCCGAAGTCAGTACTGTTGATGCTTTCGGATGTAGTGCTAGAAATCTTGGTACTGGTGGATGACTGAAACACACCAAAACCCTGTTGATCAACTGAATGTGAATCACTGGTCATGCCAAAGGTCACATTTTGAGAATTTTCAGGAGATTTAAATGCTCCAAAGTCACTGTCCTTTCCAGACGTGAACTGGTCTGCCACTTCAAAGCTACCAAAATCAGCAAATCCGTCATCAGCTAACTGATCATTTGTTGATGAGGTTGTTGTTGGCGGCTGTGTAGGTATCGGGGGTGGTTTTTCAACACTGAAAACCCCTCCACTTGAGCCAAAATCAGCATTTCTGAAAGCACTGTATTTATCCTCATCTACCTTTGTCTTGTCCGCAAACGAAGTATTTTGATCACTTCCAAACGAGGCAAAACCTGTCAGCGTATCCTGTTGCTTTGTATCTGCTGGTTGTTTTCCCAGACGATTTGCAGAATCCAAACCTCCTGCAGTAGCGGGAGAGAGGGTATGACTGGACAGTTTGAATTTTTCCAAAGACGAGACAAGCTTTTCAGGTGCCTTGGAAGAAAACCCAGTAAAAGTTTTATTGGATGAAAACGGATCAGGACTATGCTGAAATTCTCCAAAATCATCAACGTCTGCTGGACCTTTCGTGTCAACATTAAAGATTGATTTATTAGCAGTATTACTAACTGATTCTGAGAACAAACCACCGCCAACAACATCAGAGCTCTTGTTGTTGTCCGGCTTACTACCAAACTGGAGATCACCAGACCCAGGCAGAGACTGTGCCTGTTGCTCGTTGGGTGTTTGAACTGAAGCTAAGGTCAAACTCCCGGCTTCTGATTCCTTTCCACTTTGAAAATCAGCAAAATCATCTTCTGGAGGCTTTGTCTTAGCAATATTTGAAACATTTAAAGTATTACTGGTGCCACCAGGCGAGTCCAGTCTTTTTTGGAAAATTGAAAAATCTGGCATTTTTGCTTCACTGGATTTCTGATTTGCTAGAGGCAAGTTTTCTTGCGAAGAAGCTTCACTCTGAAAGTCACCAAAATCATCTTGACCCAAATTTGGTTCTAAGTTGGAAGGTCCAGGAATATTTAAGCGATTGTTAAAACTTGACTGCCCTTGAAAATCTCCAAATGCACTCTGTTTGAAGTGAAAAAAATAAAGGTAAAGTAAGTTAAAAGAAACAATGCCATAAAGCATGACATGCATCATGGCAATTGACCTGATACTTATGATTTAAGGGATTCGTACGATCGGTTTAGAATTTTTTTCATTAAAATTGTAATAAAGATAACAATGCTATTTCCAGCCACTTAATCACAAGTTTTCATGCACATGTACATAATTGTTAATAATTTGGAAAGACAGCTTTGTACAAGTAACTTCTAAGTTTGCGGGGTCTGATATTCCACCATCCTTAGAAGAGGTAGAAAGTCGGTGCTGCAAACCGAAAAATTAGACATATTTGAACGAGTATAATCAGATATCACAGCCGCTGGAAAGCAGTCAGTTTCTAATCTCTCGAGCATGGAGATATTATGAATAAAGGTCACACTGTAGTAAATTAGGTTTGAGTTTGTTTATTCAGTCCGTGACTGACACAGGCGGCTCGGAAGACAAAATTTGAGTAGCTCCCAATAAAAGTCGAACCTTCTGGTTAGTAGTCCAGGTGCTAAATAGGTTTTTTTGTTAACATATTCTGCTCCGCACCTTATCTGTTTTCTGGCTTGGTACACTCTCAAAGTTCCCAAAATCTTTCTGTTGGATTGGCAAACTGGATCCAGCAGTACTAGTTTCTCTTCTGTTCCAACCACTGCTGATCTGACCTGCCCCACCTTGAAATGCGGAGAATTCACTCGTTTGAGGACCCATTTTTACCATGCTTGGTGAATCAACAGATTTGAACGCTCCAAAATCATCTCTAGAGTCAATTGAAGACGATATTGCAAGGCTGGTTGATTCAGGATTGTCAATAGTTCGAAATACACTGTATCTATCATTAGGATCAACAGAAAGATCACTGGAAGGGCTGCCATGACCGCCTCCTGAGGAACTCCCCTCCATATTTCCGGTCGCCTGTGAAGATTCAGTAAAGCTCCAACCTCTCCCTCTAGTCTGGACATATACAAACAAAAGGTAAAGCAAGCATATTTTACGTCGATAACTCGTGACAGTAATTTACTGATAAACCTGAGGATGACGGTGCGCTTATTTTTTCCCTCTATCCATCACTGCTCCGTTTTAAAGGTAGTGAAAGTTAGTTGAAGCTACAAAGAAAGGAGAGAAGTGAAAACAAGGATATGATGTCACCGAGGATCGAGCTCGGGACCTCGCGAACCGAAGGCCGTGCACTAACCACCTGGGCCATCCTTGCTCCTTCAATATTCTCTACTTTTTTTATTCTTAAAAGAACTGCATCAAGGTCCACTGCGGAAAAATATTATGTCATACAAATCTTAACCTTGTAAGCAGTTGTGTTCTGGTTCTCTGCCACAAAAAATCACTGGAATAGTCGATGAGGTTTCCAATATTAATTCGATTTTATAAAGAGCGAAATGAAGTGTGTTTTAGCCAATAACAACTAAGCAAGCAACATAACACTGTAAGATAATAACATACAAAAATAAAAACACAATTGTACACTGTCAATCAGCTTTTACAACCTTTCGTCTACTCAGAAGAGGCTGGTCCTTTATTACCTCATTATTAAAACTTTAAGGTAGAAAAGTTCATGGTGCTTTGCTCTGTTGTACATTTTAGTTCAGTACACTGACCTGCAATACACTCTCAGGGATGGTGGGAATAGGAGCTGCTTTACAAGAGGCTAGTTTTTCCAGGGTGAGTCTTTCTGTTTTCATACCAGCCTATTTTGCAAAAATAATGCAAAAGAATATTTAAACATAAAGCTAGAACAAGTAAGAACTGTTAGACCAAGAATAGAAATAGAGAGACTGATAGAAAAATCTGGCAGGTTTGCTAGGTCAGCTTGGCTGAGTTTAAATCATTTTATAAATTAAAATACTTCTCTGCTACGGTTTTAATCTGGGAAAGAGGGATTTTAACCCAAAAAATGTTAAGATGAACCAGCTAGCTTTCCATCATAAATAGAAAAAATAAATAATATACTAAGACAATTAAATATGCTTTCCAAACCGTTGACTGAGCTCTTTATACTATCAAATACTAAGGCACATGACAGAACATACCTGTGCTAAAGCAACTAATCCCAGTACAATTCTTAATTCCAGTGCATTCAATTGTCCTGGAACATTCTTGTTAGCTCTGTTCCATATTTGGCCCAATTGGTCCCGAGGCAGATCGGATGCCATAAGAATGGGGAATAAACGATTGGTATCAATGACATCAGATCCTTCGATTGTTTTGTCTGTAATTTCCTTGTACACTCCAGGAAGATCTGTGCCGTTCACACACCAATCTGGCAGGGTCACACCATATAGCAACTCTAGCTTCCGTTCAGGGCTGTCATCAACTTCAGGAACTGTAAAATTTTTTTAATAAAACATATTTTGAGATGAAAGGCTGCAGCAATGGATTAGGGCAAGTACATCTGAGTGTCAGATTTGGATTATTTGATAAAGCTCAGAGCCCCAGAGTCTTCTTTGATATAAATATTTCTTCTCTTTATAAGAAATGAAGCATGAAGTTTGTGGCAAAATTGTCATTCATGTACTACGCACATAACCTCTGTGACATATGCTGCTAAAGTCAATATGGATACAGCTGTGATTAGAACTGTCCAAGACACTACAGAGCTGTAAATTTTCCTTATTTTTAAGGGTTAAATAACTGACGTTCAGTTTGTGTTGAGCTTTACATCTCATACCTTTCTCTGAAAAGTTGAAATTTTACTGTACAAAATTGGGGATATGATACATGTATGTTTAAAGTTAACATAATTAGCACAGGGTTTTCAGAAAGTTTTTAAGTTGATGGCTGAATTACTAAAGAAGCAGAGGAATAGCTCAGCAGGGTAGATGGTCAAAACCATAGGGTTAGTAGTGGTTCTCTGCAGGTGCAAGTTATATGTTGACAAAAGAAAACAAAAAATTACCTGAGATATAAAATTAACTACCACATTATGTACAGCTGTAGGAAAGAAAGACACTACAAATTAAGAAAAAAGACCCATAAATCCTTACCTGTCTCAGTAGCAGGTTCTAACAAGTTCCCCCCTTCTGTTACCTGCTGGATGTTAGGCTCTTTTTCTGGTACACGAACTGGCTGAGAAGGACTGCTAACAAAACCAGTTCCCTGGAAACCTGGGGTGGGGGCCAGCAGGGTGTGGCTTTTTAAACCTGGGATGTGAGGGGTGCCTGGCTGTGCCATTGCCCCTCCAGTAACTGCATTTCCACCAGCATTAGACATCAATTCTGACATACTACCCGATCTGTTTTTAGTTGTTTCATCTATAAACTGGGTCATTTGGCCACCATGGCTGGGCATACCCATTATGCCACTAGTGTGTGTTCCAGTTGGGTCTCCAGAAAACTGGGTTATTTGACTTCCTTGGGTAACACTGGATTGCCCCACCCAAGACACGGCAGGTGGTGCAGCAGCATTTGCTAGGTGATGCTGTGTTGTTTGCTCTGCATGAATAGATGAGTTTGCAGATATATTCTGTGCCAATGGAAAACTGTATGGAGTTGAAGATGATGTGGGTGCTGTAACTGAAGGAGTGCTATGCCATGCCTGAGTCTGAGGGAGAACACTAGCACCTCCAATGCCCTGAGGGTGACCTGATGACACGTTTGATCCCGTGACTGGAAATGATCCACTTGTGACTGACAAAGCAAAGAAGACAAGTTCAGATAACAGAAGAGAAAGTCAAAATGTGACTGAGTTATCTTTTTTGAGTGCTTCATACATGTACAGTCGACTCTATTCCACCATAAAACAAAACATATTCATGACCTTACTGGTGCTTAATTTCGCATTTTTCACAAATGTAAAAAATTCGCGAAATTAAAGACCACGAATTCAAATCCTCATGAAAATTAAGCATGTGAAATTTAATATCCATGTAGAAAATTCAAAACACACAAAAATTTATTAACATGTAAATATAGCAACAACATATAAAGGATATGTATCGACAAATACAAACATTGTTTATTGGTTTTACTGGAATGTTTCATTTTGTATCTCACTTGTGAAATAACGTTATTTTGCAAAGATTTCACACATTGCTTGTTCCAGTTTATCTACATGTAGAAATTTTTAATAAGTTTGCACTTTTTGAAAACTAAAATGAAGTCAAGAATGTGAAATCATGAAATTTATTGCCCTTTTCAAATCGGCTGTTGAAATCGCGAAATTAAGAAACCGCAAAATGAAAAACCAATAAGTTCAAGGAGCTTAAATAAGTACTCAAATAAAAATTAACTGTCTTTTTATATTTCGTTCCTCAAGCTGAATGTTGACTTGGTCATCATATTTACCTGCTAATTAATAATAAAATTTATTTATATATGTGTAAGAATCTTGAAAAAACATTAAAGGAACTAATGGACTGAGGAAATGTCATTATCTGTCAAGTTGTGTCATGGCTAAATTACAGTCATGTAAATCTAAGCTTTTGATTAAGAAGGTAAGCTGGTAACACCAACAGCTTCAATTTTTGCTTGAGTCAATTAGATTTGCTAGTTATGATGAGAAAATAAGAAGAACTGATTTTGTCAACTGAGTTGATAAAGTATATTGGCCACTGTAGGGGGATCGAGAAACTGATGACATTAATTGAGTGCAAGCTCTCCACGTCCCTGCGGCAGGGGCCAATCTAAAAAACCAAATCAAGTGTTAAAATCAAATCTATTTCACTCCCCTACCAATGCAACACAACACTTTTTTAGAACCTTAACCCCTTCATGATGATAAAAGTCTAGAGAAAACTAGCTGAGTATTCACTTGAGATTTTTAAAATTCCCTGGACATAACAAAATATTATTAGAGATGGTGAAAAATTATTAATTTGAGTATTTGTAGCCTGACAAACCTCCAAACTGGTTAGATGGTTCAAGAGCAGTCTGAAAGTCATTAAAGGTGTCCTGGCCTGGTGCTGGTCCTTGAGAGAAGTCACCAAAGTCATCTGTATCATGCAATTGCCACCCTGTAATTGACGGAGTCCCTTGGGAATTTGCATGTCCTGATGGCATATATCCTGAGCCCCACTGCCCTGGGGTAAGATTTGACTGACTAGCTACACTGCCACCAGGTCTTGAAACTGTTGATTATTAAGACAAAAAGCTGCTGGACAATGGACGTTCAGTTGCAAACCTGTGCAGGTCATTACCACTCAATAACTTTCCCTTGTTTGTTTCTTGTAGAATTCAACAAATATCAATGGGAAAAGTATGAATGCTTTTTTATATCTTTTTTGAAAAATAATCTGCAAAAAAAGGGTGCATTGACATTTGGGGTGGGGGGTAGGGGTTAGGGGCAAGGGGTAATGCCAAAGAGAGAGACTCCAGATTTAAGATCTCTGGAGGCAGGCATCTTTGAGATATCAAAATTTAATGTTTTTATATTTATGCCATCATTTTACAAAATATAATCAATTATCTATCAAGTGCTGATAATTTTCAGGGATATGGGCAGGATCATTCCTTTGGGTCCCTATATCAGAAGCAAGCTCTCTTGCCCACCCTACCCCGCCCCTTCTGAAAAAGGAATGTTCAGCATATATAAACTGAGTAACTTCCTAAAAAAAATAGTTAAAATAGTTTTGTTAGCCAAGAAGTATTTCAGTCACAGTAAATTACAACTGTTATGAAATCCATAATAATTTAACCTTATTCGCAATGTACTGTAGCTGTAACGATGCAAAATGTGCTTGGCCTGGGTAAGATATGAACTGCCGCTTCCTAGATTGCACTTCATCAGAGTCTTTCCTTTTTTCCCAAAGGCATTCCAGTTTGTTTTATTACCACTTGACATGCTTTTTCCTATCACAGAAGGATTCACTGACACCCTAAGCCCCTCTAGCTACTGTATGCCCCATGGCTTGTAGTTAATAAAATTTATACTCGTATAATAATTGCAGACAAAGAACTTACAAATACTTGTTGGCTTTGACACACTTGGTTTAACACTTGTCTTACTACCGAGGGAACCAATTAAATCAGTCATTGATGAGTCACTAGCTCCAGTCTTGTTCTTTCCAAACAGGTTATTCAGAGCATCAGCATTGGATGGTTTCTTTGCACTGAAAGACTGTTGCAGTTTCCTCTTTTCTTCTTCAAACTGTTTCTTTTTCATCATTTCCTGCTGTTTCTTTAGCTGTTCTTCAGCCTGTTTTCTTTGCTGATCAATTATTTTTTGTTGCTGTTTTGGAAACTGATGTCCTAGCTGTACATTGGCAGGAAATGCCCCAATTTGAAGACCCATAGGTGGTGTCATTAGTGTTCCAACTTGAGATGGTATTTGAGGCCCCATTGGCAGGTTTAAGGGAGGTCCCATTTGAGGTCTCATTTGTGGGTTGATTTGAGGACCCAGAGTTTGACCCATTTGAGGACCTCCCAGTGGTCCCATATGATGACCAGGAAAAGACTGTTGAAATCCCTACAAAAGAAAAGTGATTTGACCAGTATACTTCATGTTATCTCTGCAGTTTGTGTGTCAGACCATCAAGTTCACATGAGACTAATAAATTTTGCAGTTTCACCAAACAAAGATGAAAGAAAAAGGAAACCTGCCATTCCCCCCTCTTAGTTTCTTGTGAGCTGTTGTTTCTTGGCCACTCAGTCTGTGTCTTTTACATTAGAGTTGAATGTTCCATCTGCTTTTATTCTGTTCTGTTGCTGGTGTAAACAAAGTCTATACTATTGGGAGATATAAAGAATACTTCATGGAAATTGCAGGTGTTCGGTATTTACACATGTGTTGTTGATGTATCAGAAATCGAATGAGTGAGTGCAGCTAGCAGTATACTGTAGTGAGTGATTGAGATTTCTGATACAAAAACAACAAGTGCATAATACTGTATGAAGCACTTCCCATGTGGTATTGCGTTTATTATAAAACAAACCTTGTAGAGTTGAACTAGTTACAAACCGAAATCGTGATTATAGACCCTAAGCCATGCAGAGCACACGTTTTTTTTATATACCATGGAGAATTCACCAATGGATTTGTCCAGGGAAAGCCAAACTTCGACGAATACTTCTAAATTTCATCATCACTACTAAAGTAAAAGGTGAGAAATGACATGGAGTCTGCATGAATCATTGTCAAGGTTCACGGTCGAGAAAGCTTGATTTTCCATATATACCTTCTCCATCGATTTCTCAAATGTATATTACGATTATCTGCTCGCCACTGTTATTGATTCATTTTTTTTGTTGTTCTGGTAAACAAAGGCGATTTCTCCCACCAGGCACCTACACGATTCTCACCTCTTCTGTTCATGTTCCTTTGGATACTGTTTTTAACCAAATATGATAAAATAATGTCATAGGATGAGTTAACGTGTGCTCAAAAAGAGGTTTTCTGTAAAAGAACGAGGATGGAATGAAACACTAGGCAAGATTGACGCGGATTTCTAGATGTGTCCGACGTGTACATTTGATTGTGGGTTGAGGTAAATGCTTTTCAAACTGGCAAAAGTAGTGTCCAGGTCAGTGCAGTCCCACAGCTGACTGTGTCCCTTTAAGGTTATGTCTCATTCTGTTTTTCCCTTCTGATGTTGTTTTGCCGGCTCTCCACAGTTTTCTTCATCGACAGTGAAACAAACAAATACTATTCAACTCCAATTTCTGAGATGTTTTTCACTTTTTTTTTTACAAGAAAAACTCTTTGAGAAACTCTTTTCATTGAATTTCTGCATAGCAGCGCCGCAAGGGGTGCTGCAAGCTGCAAGTGCCTATTAGAGGTGGGAATTTTGGTATGAAACTCACACATCTCTGTGTCTTCTGATTAGATCATTACGGAATCGCGCCTGTAGATACGCGTCGCTAGTAAATGCAAATTTTTCTGTCAATCAAATGTGTCCTATTATTTGTAGGTGGAAATTGGTAAAACATCGTTATTGTTTTGGAGACAATAGAAGAACAAAAGATAACAGAGAGATCAAGTTATGCGGTCTTAAAGCGTGTTGCGTGACTTAAATCAGTTGGAGCATTTCTCCTAGCTTTTCCCGCATTAAAACGTTGGAATAAAAAGTCTGAAGCTTAGCTTTTAAAATCTTGATAGCCAAAATAAAAGGGGTGCCCCAAAAGGCAAGCATTTGGGAATTCAATATGGATATTTTTGTCTCCAGCGAAATCCGGCGGATGAACAGTAATTTGCATATAAGCGTAAGTGAAGCGAAATAGATACAAATTGCCGTGGTTCTAAACACAACGTTTCCTCGAAGTTTTTTTTCCTTTTGAAAGCATAAATTCGCATGAAAGAGCTCAGCTTGCACAAAATGATATAAAATGAAACGAATCAAATCGAAAAGTGGTAAAAAAAAGTCAGGATATTTCAATTCGATGGAAAGTAAGTGATTGGGTAGGTGATTTGCATACTGATAAAAATAACGTCTAGCGCCGTTCAAAACCGTTCGGCTTCCTGAATTGTTTTCCTGGAATTCTATACATTCTGCTGGCCTAAATCGTTCAAATATGTTATGAAGTAAAAATATTTATCAAGTTGAGCGTTTGCATTTCCTTATAAAACAGAGAGTAGCGTGAAAGCTTCGATCTATAGATTTTCTTAAGTTAAATTACCTTTGTATCGTGGAAACAATACCCTAACACTTGAGTCTTGAATCAAAGGACGCGACATGCGTCAGCTCCCTTTGTGAGCGCGCAAATAGTCATGGGACCCGCGATTTTGCGGGCGACACGGATCTACAGGCGCTGTTCCGTAATGTGTATTTTTTTCTCACACGTGAAAAACATCGTTTGCTATTTTTATGGGACCTATCATTTTATTCACATGTGAAAACCATTGTTTGCTTCTCTGATTGGCTAGAACTCATATAATTTGCATAAGAACATTTACAACATAGATTTTTGGTGAGTATTTCACAGTGTGTATATAATAAATGCATGTATGTTTCATATCTTTTCCTGATCTTATAAAGTAAGATAATGTCATGGTCTTTCTATCTTGTACACATTCTTGTAAATTTGCATGCAGAATTCATTTCCGTGTTTACATTAGAACTTTTTGATTTACCTGGTTCTTTTGCACACCATAAGGCTGGTTCTGTTGAAATATACCCATGGGTTGTGTTGCTTGCATTCCACTGAAGTTTCCTAAAAAAAGTGCAAATAAGAGTATTCATTTAAAATTTTAATGTTATACTTATGGCATGGACATTATTGGGTGTACAAAGGCACACTGATATTCAGTTATTACTGTGGAACTCAGAAAACCATAAGCACCAGAAATATTTATGGAATGAGATTAAGTTACAAGGAAAAAGCCAATTGGGTACGAGAAAACTAAACCACAACCAGCCCAGTAATTAGTTTGCAGTTTTGTCCTTTGTTCTGATCTTTGCTGGCTATTTGGTAACTATAGACAGGCAATCAACATTTCTGAAATACACATACTTAGGTGTTGACAGTTTCTGAGTTTAACAATAATTAGGGATGTTAAGATACACTGTTCCTTACAGGTACAGGTAGGTGAACATGTGTACCATGAACATGTAGTTTAATGTACTATACAGAAAATGGCAATTTTGATTTCACAAATGATATGATATAATGGCATCACCACTCTACCTGGTAGCCTAGCTATTTCTCCAAGGTAAGCATTTACATGTATTTACACCTATACATGGGAACAGCCATACATAGAAACAATGTATCCTAGGGTCTCTAATAAGTCTGTATTCTAAGTTATGGTGGATATAAAATTTTTCAAACCACGTGACAGCATTAGAAAACATCCTAAGATGACTCAAAACTCATTTTTTAAATTGTTTCGGAGGGGTATTTGACTCTCAAAACTGGCATTATGGAAGGGCATTTGACCAGCATTTGGCACAATGTAATGGGAATTAAGCTTATTTTAAACTGGTCGCCTTACAAAGTTCAAATAATACCTGGGAAATATTGCTCGATCTTGAAGTTTCAAATTCATCCGCACATAGCATATAGATATGAAGACTATGAAACTGTTTTGAGCCCCCCTATGTCACTTGCTATGTGCTAATTGAATTATATTTAGTACTTTTAAATGTAGGGAGACTAAATAATAGCTGTTACTGCTATGAAATAAGTGTAAGCAGACAAGGAAGCTACAAAGATTTCCAAACCCATTGTTAGTTTCAACGAAAGCCTCGTCGGGTTTAGAACATACTTTCAAATATGACCTTCTATTGTTTATTTCAAATCGCGAGTTACTTCTACTATATATTTCAAGGTAAATTTTCAGTCATGAGCTATAATAAATACAGTGTAAGCTTATTTCAAAAACCTTACCTAATTAAAGGTAATAAACAAAGCTGGGAGAAATCCTTAAAAAATTAAGAAGGGAAATACAGACTACTAAGCTATAAAGTTTGATGCTCCTTACCTTGATGTTGCGTTGGAAACATTTGTCTTGGATTGTTAACATTGTTAAATGCCATTTTACACCAGCTATCATGTGATAGTACATGTATCGTTAAATGGCCGCCATCTTGGACTCCAGGAAACAACGTCATATATGTGTCCAGACACAGGCAGCCCAAGCGCACTATGTGTGGGTTCGAGCTTCAGAGGTCATTTGGTCGGAATACACTAGAATTATTGGTGTATTATCTGATGCTAAATAAACGCAAAAATCTTAAAGATATGAAGTCTTCTTCTTGTCTATCTGTACTAGTAGCCTTTAAGATAACGAAGGTCGATATTTCTTGCATTATTACATGTGATTCGGACCCTTAATGTTCGAATTTTATCCCTGAGGGGGTACTCCCATATATGGGCTATATAGGCGCGTGCCGCGGAATAGGGTATGGTTTTTGAGGTTCTCGGTCCTTAAATAGGGTATCTTTTTTGACCCTTTTGTTTCTGTGTCCCTGGTGTGGTCCTTAGATAGGGTAGCTTAATTGTCTTATCTAATACTGCAGTGTGAAAATGCCTGCCTAAACGAACGGTTTCTTTTAAACTTAAGTATTCTAGTATTTTATGCTTGATGCTATACATCCAATGTTACAGAGAAGAAATAGAGTTTTCCTTTCCATGCAATGAATAATTTTGTTCTTTCCTTGAATAGGGTGTCATTTTTCGGCTTTGGGCCTTAAAAAGGGTATCAGTTTTCGCTTTCTTAGTCCTTAAATAGGGTTAGGGTTCACGAACCTTCGCGGCACACCCCTATCCAAAATTCGCGGGAGTACCCCCCGGGATTTTATGACATGTATTCGAATCTACAACGCTAAGAAAAAAAATCATGATCACGCGAAATACTGATTCAAAAAGCTTCCTTACCTTTAGTTCATAGCCACTCTGTGTTCAGTACTCGATGGAGAGAAAGTTGACTAAACAGCGTTTAAACCGGCCGTAGGACACAGAGTGGCTATGAACTAAAGGTAAGGAAGCTTTTTGAATCAATATTTCGCGTGATCATGGTTTTTTTTTTCTTAGCGTTGTAGATTCGAATACATGTGATAAAATTCGAACATTAAGGGCCCGAATCACATGTAATAATGCAAGAAATATCGACCTTTGTTATCTTAAAGGCTACTAGTACAGATAGACAAACAAGAAGACTTCATATCTTTAAGATTTTTGCGTTTATTTAGCATCAGATAATACACCAATAATTCTAGTATATTCCGACCAAATGACCTCTGAAGCCCGAACCCACACATAGTGCGCTTGGGCTGCCTGTGGTCTAGGAAATCCGATCTCGCCCGAACACGAAACCGAAGTAATGCCACACGAAAATAATAGTTAAGTCTCCCGAAATATTGAGTTATGACTCACTTACTTTTTTAAAACTAAAATCCCTGCCTTTGATCGTTTAAGGAGTAACACGCTGGGAGGGAAAGTGGCGGTGAGATGAAAAAGGAGATAAACACATGATAAAGAGAGTATAGCCTGTGTCAGGCTCTCCACAGGCAACCCAGGCTCCATAGTGGGAGTTCGTTTGAACCTGAATTTTATAAGAGGATGTATGAAAATAAACAAAATACGACCTAAAAAAAACTCGCAATAAAATTGACTCAACTTTTGTTTGTGTTGTGTGTTTTACTGTGTGTTTGCTTCTACATTTAGCCAGTTCCATGCTCCGAGATCGTCGGGTCCGCTGAATTGAGAAAGCGCAAACACGAAAATTAAACGGGAGGAAACTGGGGAGAGCTTGAGCAGGGGCCTTTCCTTTTCCTTTTCCCGCCCGCCAACTTTTCGCGTGCTTTTTTCTTTCGCTTTCTGCCCGCTATCTGAGAGCCTGGAACAGGCTAAGAGCCATTTGGAAGCCGTTTTATTGAGTTTTAGATTTCGAGCTGTACTTACAATAAGAAAAAATGGGCACATTTAACGTGCATGAGCTATTTTGAATGCTTCAGTGTCATCGTATCGACATCTATTGTTTTAATCCCAGATTAAGACAATTTTTTTTCCGAAATTGGGTATTGCTGTACATTTATGAAAACGAGAACCGCTGCGCACAGCTGAAGCCGATCCTCATACTATAGATTCACTTTTCTTTGTCTTCCTTCGGACATCCGGTGCAAAAGGAAAAAAAATATTGCCCTCAGCAAACGTTGCTTAAAGGGAAGACTTGAAGGTTTCAAGGTTTCGTCATGGTTTCTTAAGATAGTGAAGCTCGTCGAATAACGAATAGCTAAGAAATGTTACGTTTTTCATCATTGTTGTAGATGGTTGCATCATCATCATTTACGAGGTTGTCTGCGTGCGATTCTACTTAATAAAACAGTATTTAACTCTGACGACTTGATTCTAATGTTATAAGCTACTGCTTCTTAAAAGAAAAGAGACTTTTGGAGCAGTTTTTGAGTAAGCAAGTTACATCTAAATTGGACTCATGTCTCTCAAAATATCAATCGGCCTACAGGAAAGGAATAAGGGCCTGTTTACAAGGAGAGAGGGTTACCCTTGTGCTATAGGGTTACCCTAGCAAGCGGGTTAAAGTTAGCTCTGGTTTACAAGCAAATTTCACAGGTAGGGTTACCCCATCACCCGGGTCAACTTTACCGACTTTACTGACGTGTTTCATCATGCGTAACATTTTTTGTAACGTCCAAGATTAGAAATCAAACTTGATGTTCTCTGTATAAAACACGTTAAATTCACGAAAAAAAGAAAAAAAAACGGGAAAATATTATCATCGTATACAGAAAATACCATATATTGTTCAGATGTTCATAATTTAGCTCAGAAATTGGATAATTCCGTTCAAATTGTCAAGATCACGACGGAGGAAAACTGTCCCGGGTAGGCGTGTTATCCCTAGCAGAACGTTTACAAGGCAGGTAGGGTTACCCTAGAGCTAGGGTAACCCTACTTGCCTTGTGAACACGCCGTGTAAAAAAAAAAAAAAAGAAACGTGCGAGTGCTCTGGTAACTCTTTTGCTAGGGTATCCCTTCCTTGTAAACAGGGCCTAAGCTCTGAAACAGTGTAGTATGTGAGAGTTAATTCCACAGATACCAGTAAGGCTTTGACTCTCTGTTAGGACGACTGTGGAGCGAACGTGGTGAGCGATCTGAGAGCGAGCAGCAGTATACACAAGAATTTCAAAGTAAGAAGTCTTTGAAACCAGAACTCCATTTCGCTATTAACCAGAATGCAACGAGTTTTCGGTCAGAATGAGTGGACCTCTCTCAAATAAGCCCTTCGACTTCGTACCTTGGCCTAAAAAGCTCGCTCCACTCCGCCTCACTTTAAGGCTTTTTATACGATGGAACTCGAGAGGACTACTTGCGGCAAGCCTAAATAATGCACTGCCCTCGAAATTTCAGGTGACACTTAAGTGCCTTTGACCTACGATCACGTGCCTCGTGGATATTTTAGAACTTGCAATGGTGGGGAATATTGATGAATAAACTTAGGAAGTTAAACAACAATAACGCAAGTGCCTCATCGAAAAAAAACCTCAAATGTCCGCAGAAATTACATAGACTTGGGCTATCGTTGTCATTATATTATTGGTGTCTGTTAGTATTTCTTGTGATATCTTCGTAAGGTTAGCGGAACTTAAAGTCTCAGAAGACTGTATGCAAATCTGTTTAATGATACCAATTTTCTTAATAAAGTACGTAACTTAGTATTAACTTGTTAAATTCAATAATCAGAAAGATATCCTCTTGAGGTAATTCTAATGAGTTTGCTTTCAAACTTCTTTGGCGCTTAACCGCCAGAGGCACTTTAAATTTCATGAAAGTTTAGTCCCTCGTTCAAAGAAAATACATGGTGGCTTTACTCCACTTTCACTCCCTCTTCAAAGACTCTTCGATTTACAGGGTTCGTTTACTGTGCCTGACTCGTGGTGCCTCTTCTTGGTGGGTCTGGCGTTGTTCTTTTGTGCTTGACGGACTGAAGACAGACGTTTTTGTTCTCAGATTCGGGAATATCAGAGGAAAGGGTACTGAGTGAGACGGTGGAGCGACGTCTTACTCTTGAATTGCGGCGTTTGACCGAGCTGGCCATTCTCTCGTAGGTATGCTTGAATTCTTTGTTGCGGAATGCGAACAGAAAAGGATTCAGAGCCGAGTTAAGGTAGCCAAACATCAACAGTACATAGAAAAGCTTAGACGGGTATGTTTTCCAGTTATCATGTCCCCATAGATTAGCAACAATGCTGAAATAGGAGTAGGGCTGCCAGCAAAAGAAGAAAGCTGCCACAAACATGAAGGTTGTCTTGGCTGCTTTTAGGTTTCTTGCATGGGCCTTGGCGTCCTCTTTGGATTTCTGTCCGCTCTCCTGGCGCGGCTTAAAACTGGCACCGCCTCTAGTATGCTTACGAGCAATACAGTATATCATGATGTTTAACACACAAGTGACTACCAACGGCCCAACAAAGTTAAGAAAATTGCTCAGAGATGTGTATAACTTGCTAAAAGGGACCACGCAGGAACCATTGAGTATGATTTCTTGACCTCTTTCCAGAAACGGCCATCCCATGATGGGAAGAAAGGCAAATATGATGCAGTACAACCAGATAAGGCCGGTCACAAGTAAAGCTTTTCTTTGGGTCATGAACTGTGCGCGGCGAAAGCGGCTCAGAGGATCACGAAGGCTTTGATAGCGATCCACGCTGATGGCCAAGAGCGTCAAAATTGAGGTCGGTACAGTGATGAGGTACACGGTAAGAAAAGCTACACACATTACAGCTCCGTGTTTCCAACCTCCTTGGCGAAAAAGAGACTCTATGTCAAAAGGTATTGTTATAGCTGCGGTTAGAAGATCGGAGACGGCCAAGGACAGCAGAAGTAGGTTTGTTGGCTTACGTCTTAGACTTCTGTTAGTGAGTATAGCGAAACAGACCAGAAGGTTTCCAACAACTGCCACTACTGCGATCGATATGTAACAGGTAGCCACAGGGTAGAGAAACCAGGGCCCAAAGAGAGGAGGCACTTCGTTTGACTGGTGCTCAGATGTGTTGTTCATGTTTTTTTGCCGACGTTTTGTGGCACTCGGCTGAGGCTAACTTTGGAGAGCTTTTACTGAATAAGCTTTTTGAACTAATCAGGATATATTAGAGTCTCTCAAGCCTTATATTGGAAGTTTGTTTTCGCCTATGAACCTCTGTTTTTATATCAGCATAGAAGAAACATATTGTTTTAGAACCATTTAGCTTGACTTAAGTTCTTAAGACACCAATTTAGCCAAAATAGGTTCTTGACGTCATAACAATCCCAGAATTAAATTTCACGGCCTTAATTAGTTTATTTCGATTAAAAGATCGAGAAAACATCAATTGAGTCAATATATTTTTAACTTTTATCACAATATCAATATTAGTATAATTTAAGATGTGGTTAACACATCAGGCTCGGAATTTTGGCCTTTTCTACTTACGCGCATAGTACTAAGAGGAACGCGTTTTCGTTTATTCAAAATTTCTCGTTTCATATCGGATCAAGTCTCCGCTACCAAGGCCTTTCTGAACATGTCTCGACCGCCATGGCCTATTTAAAAAAGCGTAGGCTTTCCCAAAAATAACCAGTGTTCAGACACCCCTTCTTTTCCAAAAGAATGGAGGTCTAATTTTTAAAGGGAGTTGGTGTATGTACATACATGTAGGCTAATTTAAAATCGGAGAGGCATGAATGCTTTTAAATCAATCAGTTCAATATAGAAAGATTATTTTAAGCGCAACTTTGGTTATATTTAACTCGTAATACATTTAGATTGGAAACCGTTGATCCAGCAAGCTGACATCAGCCTCAATAAACATTTTTACCTTCTTAAAAACTCTGTTTGGCTTTTTCATAGTGAACTGAATGAGTGTTAGAATGACCATTTCAAACTTGATCTCTTGCAAAAACGTTCTATTAATGGACAAAGACGATCTCTTAAAAAGTCAAGTGTTTGGTCTTTATATTAGTTGCACGGTGTCTTTTTAATGAAAAAGGAAATGTTCAACACGCCAACATTTTCCTAGTTTCAATATAACAAGTTTATCAACGATTTTCCTTCGGTTAAAGACAATTCTTTTTGTTTTCTTTTTTTAAAGGGATTACTACTCACTCGTTTATTTTACCTTTATGGCTAGCACCCGGGTGCAAAAACTGATCATCGAATTTACTGTGGATGAAAACCTAAAAAAAAGCGGCCTAAATTTGGTTTAATTTGTTTATATTCTTCCTCTAGATGTAAGAAATATCCCAGAATAGTTCATCAGTCGTTAAAATACAGTATCGACAACTATTTCATTTTTACGTGTTTAATTAGCGTCAGAGGAGCGTAAAAAAATCACGAACTTCTATGCCCTTATAAATGATAAATTGATAAGGATGCGATAAATGTCCATTTGAATGAAATTGTTTTTCCTTTAATAAAATAAAACTTATTCACTCTATCACGAGTAAATCCCGGCGAAGGACTTCAAGGGAAACTTGGTTAGAGGAATGCCACTGAGGCATTCAAACCCTGACCTTGTTTAAGACAAAAACCCCGCTAACCCTGTTCATAGTAAAGACCAGCCTTCTTTTATGACCCTGGTTTTCTTCGTTTTGCATACAGACTTTTATAATTTTGTAAACAAATTTCATGGTATTACACTGTAGGTATTTTTGGATAAAATTTGTTTGCACTGAACAAACACGTGAACCGCTCATCGCTAACCTTCACACTCAAAGGCTCCCTGTCCAAAATGACGCCTTGTTCAAGCGCTAAATAAGGGCAGTTGTATCAACAGAACTTTGTCTTCTCTTGAAATGTGTAATATATATAAAGGTAAGGCTGAAGACTCCGAAACCATACCCTGTTAAGGGTATAGAAGTTTTAAGGCCAAGCAACCAAGCCTGGGGAGTGTCATCACCAGAGAAGTAATACATGGAATGTATAAACCAATGTATAAATGTATAAAATTGGTGTTTGTCAATAATCGAACGCTTTTACCCAACGAAATTAATACCATAAGTGGTATTTGTCATTTGTTCAGTTTGTTTTTTGTAAAAAGCTTTCAGGGCTCTGTAACATTCTAATTATTTGATTTCTGCTAAAAACGAAACATAATCAACAACCAATTTACTAATTAACCAACTTGACTAAAAAGGATTTATTCTAAAAAATGTGCCTTTCCTAATCATTACGTCAGAGGATTTAATAAATGCACCATTCTACTAATAAATTAGGTACTTGATCAGGGATAGCACTCTTTCCTATGGCAACAATATCTTTCGTAATATTTTTCTGAATTCCATCGGCTCAGATAGTATAAAGAGAGAGCTAAGAACTTCATAAGTTATAAATGAAATAGAGTTTTTTTGGTTTTTAACCAGTAATTTAGGGAAAACCGGTCGGTGTACGGTTATCCTCAGTTCATTATGCTTTGTGCGTATCTTCAGTGTCACCAGAGCAGGTGTTGTGTGCCTTGATGTATAAAGTAATAAAGTGGATGTCAAAGAATCCTCTTTCGACAACAGCTATTGTCAGTAACAGAAAAGACCGTCGTGCCCTTTGTACCAAGTGTACCGAGTGTACCTGATGTTCCGGCCTTACCGAGTGTGCCGAGTTTACCGAGAAAGGTGGCTTTAGCCCTCAGATGATCTGGCTAGTTCCAGTCATCGTATCAATTTTCTGCATCATAATAGTATTTGTTCTAAAACCAAAATAAACTTTATATACGCGTTAGAATACAATGGCATTTAAGGTAAAGGAGTTTCCCCGCGTTTTGGCCAAGTCACTTAATCACTACAAAAGGAAACTGTTCAGAGTTTGGAATACATAGGAAAAATAATTAGAAACTGCGTTTAGAACTATCAGAATCATTCATTTTTGGATTTTTTTTAACTTACATTCGACAACCGGAGGTCCTGCAATTGCGTTGAAGTTTCTAATACCGCGATAGCCTGCGAGCAAGCTCTTCATTTGGGGGAGTCGGGAAAAGTCGCGCGAGAGCAGCACAAGTACACCAATGGAGATCCATACGCGAGTGCGAGGGGCGCCATACATGAAGAGCTTGACCTTACCTTAAAGAGATTTCGCCGCATTTAATTCATTAGACAAAGAGAAAAGGCTATGATGTCATCAACGCTAATCTATTCCCCTCATACAGCTCCTGCCTTATACCCGGATAATTCGCTGCGTGTAATAAGCAGATTCATTAGCATACGATTTAACCCATGGAAGATGTAGCCGTATACAGCTAGTCGAGAAAGGTTGTCGACGGAAAAAGTGCACACGACTATCCCGAAAGGTATTGT